ACTTTACTCGAAGTTATTTCATATGAAGTATTGTACTGGAACATCTATACTTTGTTTTGCTTAAAGATGTAGATTGTTTTTTCTTCTATTGTTGTAAGATCTGTGTAATACATTTTGCGTTTGTCATAGACTTAAGGAATGTTTCGTGTTTTGATGGTGTGTTTTTAGTAATATTCAGCATGCTCACAACAGCTTATTATCGTGGCTCATGATAAAGAATTTTGTTAAGGTTGGGTTTGCGAAGACCTGGCCGCAAATGCCGGATGCTACAGTGAACATAAAGTGCATTCATCAACTGCATCCTAGTCATGCTGATGAGCTCTGATATTGAGCAAATCGGCTTAAGTTCCTTATCTTATGCTACTTTTTTTAAAAACTCCTTTTCAGAGGGGCTGCATGCCTCCTGGTGCCCCCTTGGCAGCGAACGCCTCAGGCAATTTTGATTGACAAGAAAAAATCCTGGATCCGCCCCCGGTTGAGTAACAAATAAAGGGATATTTATTTACTTTACGCTATAAACCACACCCGCAAAAAATAGGTTTTTTAAACGAATTTCAAAGCGATAGCTATTTAATTTCTTGTGAAGAGGAAAGCAAAGAAGAAATAATATCGTAACACGACGCTGGATTGATTCAACCGCTGGCTTTTTAGCCAGTTGAAGAAACAAATTCTGAGGTAGGTGGCATGGCCGTTGATAGTGCATCATCGCACTCACGTTATAAAAGTACAGCTAGCAGACTTCAAGAAAAATACTGGCACTTTTCAAAGCTCTTTCTAATGAGTCAATATTTTATTTATTATTTGTATAATTTGACAAAGTACTTTTGAAAGCATCATTTCAAATTGTAAAATGTGGTTTAAACATTAAGAATCGCTTTTCACTTCAGCCCAAAATTTGATAATATAATACTTAGATGCCTCAGTAGCAATTGCTAAATCATGGATAGGTAAGAATTCATATGCTGTAAAAAAATTTTATAATGTGTTAAAATACGATAAGAAGTTGATGAAAGATTGTGACAGCGTCAAGTGCATATTTCCTGCTGTTGTGGTGAAGATAAATGGGACACTGGCACCGGGAGCTCTTTGCCTCAGCTCAATTAATCAATCATCTTAATATCAAACAATATGACATTAAAAATCAATAGATCGATATGCTTCTCACATCACGCAACGCAAAAGTTACGTTTTATGACGTAGTAATTAATTTCAACAACGGAAAGTACGAGGTGGTCATAGGACTGAGCAAAGTTGACAAAATTGTGCTGCTGTTCGTCTTATCCCTGGGTACGAAAGGCTGATAAAGCGTTATCAACATCCTGATTCAGTGGTTATGGACGAGAAAGATACAAAACTTCAACTGCCAATTCACGTCGTCCTCTGAAACGGTGAATATGCACAAAGTAAAACTGCAACCAAACCGCTCATTGGCAAGGAAGGTGAATCGGTTGCAGCAAAGCAAAATTCAGATGGATGATTCTCAGTCCTGGAATTGAGCTGGAAAAAACGAACATGCTCCTGTCCCAAACATCACAAATTGACTTTGATAAATTATGTGTCTTGACGTCCTAGTGCTAAAAGATAACGGAGAAAACGATCAACAACTGTGTTTTGATAATTTCCAAGAACAACTTCACCGAAGCCAAGAAGGATCGTACGAAACAAGTTTACCCTGGAAATCAAATCCCTACCTCTACCAACAAACGCAATGGGGAGTTGTTGACGTTTGGAAAAATTGATGAAAGGGCTAAAAGTAAGCGATCCGTATTAAGACTATGATGACGTCATTCTACAACAGTATGAGAACAGGGCGACTGAAAAGGCACCACAAAAGTTTGAAAAGGAGTTCTACATACTTCACAAAGCAGTGGTGAATAACGCAGCTGAGACAACTAAGCTGCGGATTGTGTACGATGCTTCGGCCAGCAAATCACGAATTTCACCATCTCTGAATGACTGCCTCAATCCGAGCCCCTGACTGCAAAATCTTTTCTGGTCCATTCTCGTTAGATCATGATTCTCTCCTGTTCTACCCAATGGTGACCTGGAAAAGGCGTTTCTCCAAGTCAGGATCAGACAGACCGAGTGAGATGCACTTAGATTTCACTAGAAAGCACTTGGAAGCAACGACGTGTACACGAATCTGCTCATGAGGGCGCTGTTTGGTCTGAAATGTTCTCCCTTTATACTCAATGGTGATTTAATGGAACGTGTAAAGTCTTGGGAAGGAAAAACCCAAACCTTGTGGAAAAAATACGTTAAAATCTGTACATTCACAATGTAATGATAGGTGGAATGACTGTTTCAGAAATTAATGGAAAGAGGAGTCAAGCTATTGAGATCTTTGAAGACGCCACTTTCAAGCTGCACAAATGGCATTCGAATGAGACCGTGCTAGAAACTCTACCTAAAGCTGAAGACAAAGACATTATGTCAACGAAACCGGACCAACAAAACGGAAGTAACTCGCTAAACTATTGGGACTTCAAAGGAATAAAGATAAGGACACTCTAAGAGAGCAAATGATAATCGAAGAAACCGTCTGGTCGCGAAGACGTGCATTATCACAACTTGCAACAATATACAACCCTTTTGTTTGGGTATCACCAAGGACATTGATGGTCAAGACCATTTTTTGAGAAATGTGAATGGTGAATTGGCCATTGTCATAAGGAAACGCTGGGATGATTGCTGTTTGGGACTTCCATCTAGTTACGAACTTCACCGACTTTTAGCTCTGCATAAACAAACTGTGTCTGCTGTCACTCTTCATGCCTTTGGTAATGCGAGCAAAGTCGGGATGTCAGCAGCAGCATTTGCAGGTGATGAGAAGAATGGAGTAACGCAAGGTATGGTATGTGTAAAGTCCATGTTGGCAAAACGAAATCTGTCGATATCTCGCTTGGAATTGGTTGATGGACACATGGCCGTTAACTTGTTACCGAATGTAAAGTGTGCGATAGGTGAGGAGTATTAACATCTGTCCGTTGCTGGTTGGATTCTACATTAGAACTTTACTAAATCAACCGTTGGGGAGAGTATCGCCAATTTGTTGCAAACAGTGTTGCAAAAATACATTGTCACGCTTGTGTGAAATGGCATTAAGTACACACTAAACAGAATCCGGAAGACATGGGAAGTCGTGCTGGAAATATTGTTGGAAACGAACAACGCGAAACGGTCCCGAATGGCTGAATGATCCTTTAAAGTGGCCACCACAACGAGTAAAGTAATGTACTATTGAAGCTGAGGAGGAGATTAAGCCTGAGAAAAGTGTACACGTATTGACTACATCAGCTTTAACCGAGAACGACAACAGCTTCACACATTTATTAAAAAAATTTAACCTCTAAAAGGTCATGACAATATGTGTGTGAATACTCATGTTCAAAGAAAAATGTAGAGGTTCTACGGACTGGCAAAAGAAGGGTCCTTTAATGACAAGTGAAGTCAAGAAAAGTGAAGTTAGGTGGATCAAGAAAACACAAAACGGTGCAAAAGAAAATCCTGAGTTTAAAGGAAATTGTTTGGAGCTTCGTTCGACTTCATGGACGTGTGGTCCTTGTATGTCGTGGTCAGACCAAGGGAGATTATCCAGTGTTTCTACCACGCAATGCTATGTTCACTGAAAGGAAGTCGAACTTGCACATCTCAGCTCACTTCATTACGGTATGGTTATGACTGTGGCTAAGCTGCAAGAGCAATTTTGGGCACCAAGGCTGCGAAGACTAGTAAAGCAAGTACTACCCAATTGCTAAGGTTGTGTAAGATTCAGAGTCAAATCGTATGTAAAACCACCACCAGGAATCCTTCCAATGACGAAAACTTAAGGCACAACTCCGTTTCAAGTTGTTGTGGTAGACTTTGCAGGTCCAATCCGTTATCGGACAAAGGCAAAGGCGGAGAAGAAAGCGTACCTAGTACTTTGCGGATGCAGATTAACGTGAGCAGTATATATCGAACTCTTAGGATCTATAAAACTGACCGAATTCATTCCCAACCTGAGAAGGTTTATTGCAAGACGGGGTCAACCTAATATCATCTATTCTGATAACGCAAAGACGTTCAAGGCTGCAGACAGTTGGTTGAAAGAGGTAAGAAGAGACGAGAAATTTAATGCATTTCAGGCGGACAAGGAGATTGAGTGGAGGCTTAATCTCAGTCGTACTCCATATTGAGGAGGATAGTTCGAACATATCGACGTTGAAATTTGAAGAATTGGAAGAAATTGTCCTAGACGCAGAAGTTTCTCTCAAAGATCGCCTCCTCGCGTACCTTGAGGATGACATCCAACTTCCTATCTTACTCTGTCTCTTCATTTTTAGATGCTAATCCCACTGGGTTGCCTGAAAACGACACTCTATCCTTAGAAGATGTTGATGACGTGCGGAAAAGAGCGCAATTCCTTCAAAAGTGCAAAGAAACCATGTGGGAACGTTGGTCAAAGGAATACGTATGAGGTCTACGTGAACGTCTTGAACAACAAACCGGTAAGCAAACATCTTATCTCAATTTTGGTGATGGTGCTATCATTCAGGATGAAGCAAAAAAAAGAAACACTTGGAAACTTGAAGTAGCGGAAGGAGTCGTAAAAGGAAGAGACGTTGTAATACGAGGAGCAGAAATTCGTACGACTGACGGCAACTTTGAATGTCCTATTCAACAAATTTACACACTGTAGTTGTCTTGCGACGAGAAGAAGTGGAAACCAAACCCAAAGGCTGCAACGTTTATTCCACGACTGACAAGGGATGCAGAGGTAGCAGCAAAGATACGACTTAAGAAAGATGCTGAGGAGGAACACTGAACGATTAGCTGAGTAGACATAACATTAATTTTGTTTTAATCTTATATTTACTATTTTTTGGAAAAAACCAGTTATTTTTCAATGCAAAATCATTTCCTTTTGGACATATGTTTCAATTCTGAGTTATATGGTGAGTGTGTCGGAAACTGTTTGGGACATCACTCATCATTAGTTAGTAGCATACACGAAATAACAGTAATGACGTCAAGAGTGAAAGAAGCGAGTGTAATTCACGTAAGCGTGTAATACACGTAAACTTTCGTGGAATAATCGTAAAATCCTTAGCAACGTTTCTGTTTCCTGTTCACGGGTTAATTATGTAAAAACTTTGTTATTTAAATAAATTTCTTGGTATTTCTCGAGTACATAGCTTCGTCAGACGTCAGTCGTACAGAAGAAGAATAGGTGTATATTAAGAACTATAAAGTTGTGAAGGTAAGAAATGTTTGTGTTAACGTCTCTTCGCCTTACATTAGTTTGAAAATGCGGAATTAAGTGTAAGATTTCAACAATGAAATACGTTTCAGTCCATCATTTCATTCTATCAAATTTTTGTATATTTGCGACCGCATGCACTTGTTGATTAGGCGTATAAATTGTTCAAATAAGAAGCACTTTAAGAATCTTACTTTAAGATCTTTATTTTTTGTCTCCTAATGCATTTTAGTTTAAAGTGAGGATACTTCAACTTGTCATGATTAAGAACTATTTTTAATACAGCACCACAAACAGCTCGTTCAAATAAGTGAAACTGGTGGTTTAGTTATTCAGAAATTTTGCTTGCTTCAAAGACTATTGTGCACAGCCACGAATTTTATAGACATATAGGACAAAAATTTTATTTTCAAAGTAACAACATCATTCGTAAGATTTCTTTGTATGAACAGTTTCCTGTTTGTGTCTTAATCTTTCTTGTTTTCTAAATTATACCAAAGGTGCTTTTGTGTTAACTGCGTCTTCGTACAAAATAACAAAAAAGTAACTAATTTATTCGAGATATATATTTCTTCAAAAACATAAACGTCGTTCCATGAGCAAAGTGAACATTTGTAACACAATACGACCTAACATTATTGATATAATTTACCACGACACATATTCCTTTGTCTGTTATAGCACGCAAAGTCTAACTAGCACGTTCGTTATTGATCGTGAAAGAGACTGTATAAACTATTGATAACTATCAACGGTGTTAACCACGCTACATGTTTCATAGAACGATGTAATAAAACGAAACTTCAAAATATATTTGATGCTTATGTATTACTTTGCCTAATGATGCTGATGTGAAATTGACTTTCTCTGTTTTAGGCTTATGTTTCTTTGCAGTTTGCATCTTCTCAATTTTATATCCCGTTTAAAATATTTAATTGTTGCTTTAGATTGTGTCTTAATCATTAGCTAATCCAACATGAATCGTTAATTAGCAAAAATTTTGTCTGTCAAACATTTGAAAATCAACAGTTCTCAGAAATATTCGACTACTGTACTGAAGTACAAGATACTTGGAAGCTATCTTTGTCGCCAATTCATTTAAGCACATTAACTTTCAGTGCTAGGAGTAAGGACGGTGTATTCACTGAACTGAAATGTAAGCAAGTAAATTTTGTATGTTTATTGTGTTTTGTGACCTCTTAGCATTATCGAGCAGAATAAAAACGTAACTCAAGAAGACTTTAATGATTAGATATTATCGTGTCGTAGAGAGTTATGTTTCCTTTTTTGCACATCGTGTTTATTAATTCACGAGTAAACGACTTTCTAAATCAGGAGCAAAAATACTCTATGCCAATCGTTGAATGAACTAATATATTTCAAAAGACGAACAGTGGGCTGTTTCAAATCGATTCAGTGAATTTCCTTTTACATGCTGTGATGTGTTTAGTTCGACGTGGCAAAAGCGTTAGGAGGCTTTGAAAGGTCCTGTGCGTGATACTTTGAAAGTATGGAAACAATAGTAAAATATACGTATCATTAAATTAAATGTCTTTGATATTCATGCAGCATTTCAGCAATTACGACTGAATATTTTCTATATGTCATGTCTCGGGTAAATGAATACGTTGTATTTAATGTCTAGATAATTATGTTTTAGTCTTTAGATCAAATTGGCTCATTTCGTTAAAAGTTGATTTGACTGAATGGTCGTTGTTTGTACGTTTGGAAAACTAAGTTGGATGCCCACAAGGAATTTGAAATTGAGTCAGGATTTGACGTGGAAGGCAATAGTTTGAATCTAGAGCTGAGCAACTTAATTGTGCTTGCTACATAGATAAGCTCGATAAAAGCTTGTTAACATTAGAAGTATTTTAATTAAATTTTGGCTTAGCTAGAAAAGTACAAGAAGCAAATATGTAACTTGGGGATTGCGGTATGCAACCATCATATATTATTTTGCAGGCACAAATAAAGCATGGAAACATTGGTGATGAAATAAATTTTACTACAGTTGTCTGTGATGTCTTATTTGATTTAGGACAATCAAACAATTTGTGATATATACAATTTATATTGCATCCAAAATGCGACTCTCGTTCGTTCGCTATATGATTTACTTACAAAAGTCTATTTACGGCTTTTAATGTCTAAAATGAAATACTCCAACATGCAATAAACTGTGTCATTGAAAAAAAAGAAAAAAACGTAATTTTAGTTTTCCTTTCTATTACCTTAAAATAATTTTTTCTATTACAAATACAAATGATTTCTCGTAGTTTGTGGTCAAACATTCATTATAATTTTTTATAAAAAACATTGGATTTCAAAGAAAATTAAAACGGCATCCATGCAGATATAAATATTTCCCATCCCGCAATTATCGAGGTGGCTATATAAGGGAATGACTACATGAGTAGCCGGGATTCAGCAAAGCGTTGAATGATTTTGACAAATGGAAATGATTCAATACTTATCATCAGATAAATCATCTCAAGCAATTTCACAATATTCTGATTCAATAACTACGCAAAACATTTTAAATTAAAACAAACACTTTGCCCTATGTTGAGAATTACAACCGGAATAATGTGTTGCGCTTTGTAAACAGTTGTAATCTTTAACCTTGAAGTATTGGCCTCTTTCATTCCCTTAAAATCATCGGGCTAGCTCGTTATCCGGGCCAGATTGCCACCATATAATCAGGCCCTAACTTGTCAAGCTAGTCGTTACATTTATTTGACTTGTGCAAGACTATTATTTGAATCGAATTTTATCGACCCTCAGTATTTTTGGATGGTTTTAAAGGATATTATCTTGTGCGCGGTTAGTATCTACTGTCATAACTATTGCATATATCTCACTTACGTTATAATTACGTTTCAGATATCCGTCAGCATGAGTGACGTAGTAGGAAATATGGGGTCGGTTACAAACGAATCAATGCGGGCTGTGGTCTCTGTAGGCATCTTTACATTTGGAATTAGTTGCGAGAAAGCTGCTATTATACCTTTGGGGATCACTGTTGTATCTCTCTACAGCATTTACACTCTAAGTAAAATCTTTCAACCCCCAATAAAGAATATACTTCAAAATTCACTTAATAAAGACTCCAGTGAAAATTCATCGAATGGTCCTAGTAATGGTAAGCCTGAATCATAGATTACAAACTTCTTTAAGCTTACAAAGGTTATTGAAATTTGGCCAAGGCGTTAATAAGTTCAGCAAATGTTTATGTTTCCTATAATGTAAGCTCATACGTGTACATATACATAATTGTTCCTGAAAAAATATTTCAAGGGAAAAATCAGAAAATAATCTGAGATTTCAAAGCCCGGCGTTCTCGTACACATTGATCGAATTTGCTAAAACGTTTTTAGCTTGAATAATATGTGCTATATTTTAACCTTATTTTTTACAATTGATTTTTAATTGTGTGCACGTTATATCAGAAGTATTTATTAGTAATACAATTTCATCCCACTGAAAATATAGCTGGCTAACTTTTGTGGTATTTGCGATACAATAAGTCAGATGTACTAATGGAAGTTGAAAAACCTATTTTAATATTTTGTCATCATGACAAATTTCAACACAGCCTTAAAAGCGTATTTCTATGCCCAATGTATTTTAGTCAACACAAACAACTATGTATTTAACGTAATTGTTTTTTGTAAAATGAAAGTTTTACTCAAACAAAATTATATATATGACACAAATAAATTTATATAACTGTGTCATATAGTTATTTTTTAAAGTCAACTTTGACCGTTTGTTTCATAATCAACTGGCTTATACCGTTAAATTCAACATACACTTTCACAAGCCACGAAAAGTGGTTGCTTTTACACTGAATGTCATTATTTATGCTATAGAAGTCAGTAATGTGCGATCAGGCTCCCTTGTGTTTGATCTTTCCTGTTTCACTGAAGACCAATTCAAGGAAGTTTGGGAAGACTATCAATCAGGAATACTACTGCAACGATTTCAAGATGAGTTTGAAGCACATGACGTTAAAGTAGAAGGTTTAAAAGTTGAGATCAAAAATTTAAAAGAAGTGAAGGAAAAAATGGAGATCATAAATTGTAGGTTAGACACAACTTTTCGTAAAAGATATTTTCTATTTCTCTCTGCAAAACTGTCTGTACCCCAATTTGTTTTTGTTTATGGTCATTAACATGTGTATGTGCTTTTAAGATTCATTAACATGTGTATGTGCTTTTACGTTAATAAAAGGTAGCTTCAGCACTTTTGGCACACTCACAAAGGAAAATTCATATTCGCCGAAAAAAAATTTATGATGCATGTTGAATATTTGCGCAATAAGTCACCACACCCCCTAGCTCGTTTTTAAGCACGCTGATACAGATGACATTATAGTAAGCAGAAAGCACTTGCGTGTATTGAGAGTATAGAGTAACGTTAAAATTTTCTTGTTCTCTTGATAATAGTTAAGGATATCGCAATAATAAATTAATTGAAGTAACAAAAACAAGCTAGATATAATCAATTCATTTAATTAATTTTTTTTGAAAGATTTACTTTTACTTTCAACATTAATTTAGATCTTATAACACGAAATCAGAAAACCGGCAGCAAGATGAGTCTGAGGCTGAACTCGTTAAAATGTCAAGAAAACTGGATAATATTGAGGAAAATCAGCGCGAGATAAAAGAGCATCTACATTTTATGAAGCAGAGTATAATTCGCGAGATAAGAGAAAACGTTGTTAGTATATATAGCTTTATACACGTTGTTATTTTTTATTTTAAGCAGGATGACCTTGCAGCTAATGTATTTCGCTTGAAAGATTATTGCAACTCAAACTGACATAAAGTCCTTGCCATTAATTCTTGCAACCGCCTTGTTATTATGCAACAGTTGAAATACTGGGGTTATTTTGCCTTCAGCATCAAGAAAGATATTTTGAATGAAATGAGTTCAGCAAGGACTAATATCCGTAAAAATTTCTTCGTGTAGTTCAAGCATGCACTAAAGTGCTTTATTTGCAAAATTTTTCATACAACAAGCTGTATGTTAGACACTACATCTTCATAATGTAGCATCCCTGTGATGTTCAAACTCATTGCGGCAATTAAAGTGTTTTTAAAGGCAAGCATTGCAGATATGTTTTTATCAGAAAGATATAAAAATCCATTCAGTAGTGCTGTTTGTTAGACGTTTTACTTCTAGTGAAAATAATTTTAGATTTTCTTTTACTGAAAAATCTGTATGGAATTAGGAATTCAAGCAAGCTACTATACTCGGTGTATTAATCTCCTCGATAAGAGAATGAAAACGAATGATTCGACTTAAATGATTTCTTCACTAAAATGCTGTTATTATATATTAACTTAGGTATCGACACCTGCCAGACTGTCTCGATCTGAAAGTCTTGGCCTTAATAACGATATCATCGTTTGGGGTGGCCGAGGTACCGACCAGTCAGATATAAATGTGGTTGAAAAATTATCGCTAAACGAGAGTGGCGCCACGTGGGAGATGTTACCACAACTAAAAAGTGATAGGTACCACAGTACGGCTGTCGTGATTGATTCAATAATTTACGTCATTGGAGACTCAGACATTATTGAATATCTGGACTATAATGGTAAATCTCTGGAGTGGCAGAAATTGGATTTAAATTTGCCATTTGTTGTAAACAGCCAGTCAACAGTTGCGCATGATGGAAAGATTATCCTGATTGGTGGCTATAATAAAAATAAAGGTGTTGTAGAGTGTTTTTCAAATATGATGTAATACGTCTGTAAAATTTTACTAATTCCATAGCACCTGCACATATCACTTAATGCCTTGGTAAAATGCTCTTAAATACCAATTATTCATTACAGCTTTGGCATAAAAATAAGTGTTAATCAATATATAATTCTCATATGATAGGACGTGTGTTCACGTGTGTTCACGTGTGTATATGCTACGTCTTAAGTAAGGAGTGTAAAATAAAACAGATTCCAAGCACAGACATTTCGTATTCTTGGTATTCAAAAAGAAGAAATTAAGGACAGATTTTGTCATATTTTGTCTTAATTACGACTCGTTGTCGATTTCCTTACCTGTTGTCGATTTCCTTACCCTAAAATTCTCCATCTTGCAATCAATTTGTTTAATATGTTTATTCTCTTTTTACATCCACAGCTTGTGACATCCAACCTTTTTGCTACAGAAATCTAGTCTTAATTGCAAACTGTTAAGTGAATTTATGTTTAAACCTGTTGAAAAAAACGATGCAGTGAAATTTTCTGGGGAGGAGGGTGTTATATTGCTCTGTAAAACGAGTTTTCTTTAAAGTGCCTGTATCATATTTTTGCAATTTAGCTGTATAGATAGTTCAGAAGATTAAAAGCATATTGTCAATATATTTTATAATTCGAAAATTTGATCTTCGTGCCTTTTTTAGAGCTCAAATTGGTGATTAACTGCTTGACTATAACATTAAAAAAACTATTGCTACACCTGAAGTCATATCGGGAATACGCTTCAAGAAAACACTTTATTTTACGCATAACTTCTTCAAAAGCATAGCTTTATTGTCGCGTTAAACATGTTGATGGTATCTTGTGTCGTGAATGTTCAAAAACATCCAATTTTAAACAAAATACAACAGACGAATTCCCGATGTCACATCAAAATGGCCATTACTTACCAGTATTTTTATATAGGCGGTCAAACAGTGAAAATGGTCAATTTTTCAACTTGGAGTGTAAAAAGATCCAGCAAAATCATATTTTCTAATTATAAATATATTACAATGTTTTCAAAGTAACTTAAACTATGCAAAACATGATACAGGCTCCTTAACTGTGGAAATTATGGGAAATAAGAACCCATGGGGAAGATTCGTTAATAACATTAAAAAATTATTCTGCTTAAATGAACATAAGACTTTAGGTAACCATATGAGCAGGAAAAATAAAATTTACGATTTTTCATTTAAAATCTTTAGGGTTTTGTTGGATCCGGACACAAGAGTTTTACCATTATTTTGTAAGGAGATAGATATCATCAGCTCCAAAATATTTCTTTTCTTTTTCATTTAAGGTGCATTTTCTAAAGAAATTATGGAAATATCTCTGTCTGAGCCTAACAAATGCAAACCACTGTGTGACTTACCCAAGGCAATTGGCTATCATGGGTCAGAAAAGGTGGACGACAAGGTTTTTATATTTGGTGGGAAAGATGAAAAAAAAACCTATGATGACGTCGTACTATTTGATCTTGCCACAAACAAATGTGAGATCATCTCCAAATTGCCGCGTCCATTACGATCCATGGGCACTGTTCGCTGTGAACACAAAGTAATTTTTACTTTTTTTGTTTTACATTTCACGATGGGTCACTGTAAGTTATAGAAGTTTAACCTTTAGTAAATTTTTAGCCTTGAAGGCATACAAAGCTAGTAAAAGGTGAATCCCACAGATTTTAAAATTAAAATTTTAAAAGCCCTTTTAGGATTTGTGGACGTAGAGCACATTTTTGCAGTGGTAAAGAAAGCTCAAATTTTATAACATACAAATTCCTTTTAAATTAAAATATTTTCTTCAAATTTTTTTTCATAAATAAATTAATTATGTTATATGACATTAAGGTTAATTTGGTCACTGTTTTCTTAACAAGCTATAAAGCCTCCAGCACATGAAAACGATCTCCTGAGCAAAACGTTGCTCGTGCTCGTAAGCTAACAACTCGTTTTTCGAATTTGAATTTTGCTGATTTGTAGCTGCAGCTCTTACATATCAAGCATGTTTAATATTTTTGGCCCAACAAGCCAAAAATCTAATCAATTGTGCAAAGTGATTATCGCTAGTACATGCTATAGCAAACTTGTCCGCTTATGTTCAAACTATTCTTGTTTGTTCGATGTATGATCCATAGACATTGAAAACTGAGACAAAGACTAATTGAATATGTAAAAATCGTAAAGCAATTAAAGGGGAAAAGCACGAAAATCGTTTTAATGAAATTATTTGTTGCCTTAGAAACCACATTAGTCTCATTACATCATGACCTCTTTTTTTATATATGAATTTCAATTGGTAATAGCATGGGGGGCTTGTTCGTCACGTCGGTTTTCGCCAACATTTTGCTGTTTGGTCTTGTGATAAAAGAACACGTTGCTACTCGTTACATATTTTGTTTGTTAGCGACTATAATTTCAAAAGAAATCAGCATATGTTAGAGCTGAATATATTATGAATACTCATCACCCTCCCCAATTGGCGCTCTAATTTCACCACTGTTAATTATTATTGCTATTCACTATGTAAGTAATCTTTGCTGTGATTGGTCAATTACCTGCAGATAATTCTAGATATCTGCACTTATGACGTCATATCTACCGACAATAGATATGACGTCATATCTACGCCATTAAAAGCCGGTTTGGAAAAAACATAAAGTAATAGCGATGTTTACCACAGTTTTTAAGCACGACGAGCAAAAACTTTTGAGAAAAAGCATAAGAAAAACATTAAAAAAGCGACGAAACTAGTTTTGAACATATTTACAGCATATTAAAAGGAGAAAGACCTGAAAAAACCGTTTTTAGTGACAAATCAGCGAAGGCTTGAAAATGTTTTACATTTAAAAGTTTTAATAATATTTCAGTTAGTTGAGATGAATAATAAGCAAATAATGAATTCGTTTTTCGCATGATATCAAGAATTATTCAGATCTCGGTCAATGTTATCCGCCTCAGTTTTGCTTTAGCAGATAACGTTGACGTCGGTCTGAATAATCCTTGATATCATGCTCAAACTCATCAATATATGCTTATTATAATATGCTATTAGATTGTTGACGGATTATAATTTTGTAATATTTTAGATCATGCTTATTGGTGGTCAAAATGAGAATGGTTTTCGCATGAAGTCATTGAATTTGACATCAAAACGAAGCTGTATACTTCGTTACCTCGCCTTAATAACGCAAGACGTGGATGCGCAGCTGTCGCAAACGGTGATGAGATCATTGTTATGGGGGGGTCGGGTCGTAAAGGACCAACCAGATCCGTCAAATCATACAACCTAAAAGAGAAAATCTGGCGACCAATGTCATCTTTGAAGAAAGCTCGTGGTCATACAGTTGCCGTGATTTGTACAACGCCAAATTCTACGAATGCACGTCGGTCATCAGATTCTATAGACTTAGGATGGGCTCAATTGGAGAATAGTTTAACATGATCATTAATGACATGTTTAGAGGGATGTCATAAAATTTTTTACATCCTAATTCTTTCTCATGCGCACAATTACTTGCTCTCATTTTCAATTATTTCCTTTCATTAAATCATTAGTTGAATTTGTATCTTACATTGTAGTAATCATAATTCCTTCTAGACAGGTGAACTATATCTATAACTTATAACTATACTCAAAATGGTGGTAGAAAAGAAATTCAATCAACTGGCATTATAAAAACCTTCAAAACACACTAGACAACAATATATTACCCTGATCCTCAATGCCAGTAACCCTAACCCTAACGCCTAACGCTGTAACTAACTTGTTTTCAAGTAAAGAATGTGAAGGTTTTCTCCGGTAAAGCGAATTCTCATGATAAAGAATAGTCGATATTTTGAAATATCTGAAGATTGATAAAAGTTTAGGCATTGACAGTACTGGTAAAAGAAACATGTTAAAAAACTACATAATGCCTACTGTTTCTGTGGTTCTTACTGTAATTTTTACTTTTAAATGAATTTCTACTTGATTTCCTTCCAAACCTGTGTCATTACCAGAGGGTTTAGCTGGATCTGGGACTAGACATGATTTGGATTCAGAGCAAACAAAGATATATTGTATCAATGCCAGAGAAGTCCTTGGCCTCAGATTTCAAACGTTGCCCTAAAAACATTGACTATTGTAAACCTGACCTCAGGTCTAAACTCAATAGCCAACCCAAAATCAGGTACAACTACAAAGCTGAGAACAACATCGCTTGAAAAATTAACACACAAGCTAACGATATGGTGGAAGCTTCAGAATGAAAGCACAACCGGCTAGACACTAAGAAAAGAGTGGAGTAAGTACACTTTAATTATTATGTGTGAATTATGTTTCTCAATCTTGTCCATAATTCAGCAGGTATCAAGTCAAACATGTTTGGATTAAAAAATTGCTACACTTTTTCTACTTCTTAGAGATTTGTTAATCTAAAGAAATTATCATGAATCGAGAATATTTATATCTATTTATTTCCAAATGATGTACCTAGTTGTCAAATGGCTCAAGCAATCACATCATATAATATATTTTAAAGGTGTGTTCAAAATATTAAGAAGTCTAGTTAGTCTGGTCTAGTATTACTCTTGTTTACACCAACTGTACTGAAAACTTGTGCCTAATTAATAACATGATTTTAAGGTAAGCCCACATTTTCTGGAACTTAGGGAGGTGCAAAAAAAATGCAACATACTGAAAGTAGAAGAGTTAGGATTAAATAAGGCTTGTAAAAGAAGCATAAAAACGGAACTTGATAAGCGCACTTTAAGCATTAAGAGGTAAATTATTCATAGCTGGACCTGCTGTATCAAAGCAATTTAAGTCAAAATGCAATTCTTTTTTAGTGTCCCGTCAAAGATATTTTTATGCTAGATATCAAATATAATCATTTGCTCATTTCATTTTGGATAAAATAATTTAGAAATTCTGACTTTACGTACATCTTAGTTTACTAATAACCAGTGGCGTAGCTAACCCGCAAGTTTGGTCTTGCTATGTAAATTTTCCAGTGTACACGTACTGTAAAAACAATAGATTCCTAAAGAAATGAATATTTATAATGATTTGAAATTTACATAGCACGACCAAATTTGCGGGCTGGCTACGCCACTGCTAATGACCATTTTGATTAAAGTAAAATCTTAAAGTATACATAAAACATGGTTAAGAGCAAGTTTTGTTTTTGATAAATATAGTTTTAATCTTCAAACTGTGTGGTTTATTATACATTTGTGTATACATTTATTTTCCTAGTTGTGTTATTTATGTTTTTGTAAATACTGGTTGTGTTAAACCTTCCCGGTTTTTTATGTCCTGAGTTTTCAAAGTAGTGTTTAACAAGTAAATAATTTTGGGCTACAATTTTAAAGGAGCTTTTAGCTTATGCATAATTTGACACATCAACAATTTCGTGAGGAAATATGTTCATATGTGAAATGTAATAATTTGTGAAATTGAGGCTTTTAAGGCAGGTGGAGAAAAGGGAGTATTGTCCTCTAACTAGGGTAGTTTAATAGACTACCCTTGTTTGGTCAAAATAAATGACTTGGTTGGTTTACATTTTGCTGACTAGCAAATTAATACCAATGAGGTAAAGTATTATTGATAGTTTTGTCTAAAAGCACTCGACCAAATCTTCCAAATCTTAGCTTTCTATAAATCTAATCTTATATTAAAACAAGAAAAACACCCAGAAATTGCAATTTTGTAATTGTTGTAATTGTACAATACATCGACAAATGTATCTTTTAATTTATTACTATTGGAGAGTATCACAATATACTGCACAAGTTCTGTGTCTTATTCAGTTTAAAGGAAAATTTTAAACTGAAAACTCCACCAAAATTTTTTAGAAGTTTTGTAATTGTATCGTATTAAAGATCTTTTTCTTCGGTATTATGTAATAACTGTTATTCTTTAATTGTTTAATTTTTTGACTAAGCAAAATCTATTAAAGTTCATCTATGGGCATGAAACTAAGAGTCAACCACATGCCCAATGTTAAAGTAAATAAACATTACAAGATTTTTTGAGAGTGAGACACGTAGTTAAGCAGAAGTAAGCCATTGACTGAAATGTGTAAACCAAGTCCCATATAAAAAAAATATATGTTTAAAAAGACATTCAATTGATCAACGTGACTGGATTAAAAACATTTTAGTCTGTACAAATGACCTTTAGAAAAAAAAGATCACACAAAACATTTTCTTGGTAAAAAAAGTAGCAAGAAATTAAGTCATTGTGGTAGTTAGAAGTCTCTTGGAAATCAGATGATTATAAGTGCAACTTTTTAAATGTGGTCTTTACAAATCTGCCATGAAATCTTAGGGATTGTCTTCAAAGAATTGAAAAACGCTTTTGTAAACTGTATTTTAACTGACAGTGGAAAGATACCGGATAAGTGCTTTGAAACGATTGTATTTTACTGACGAGCACAAGCTACGTCAGAGTAGTTGTGATGGTTTAGTTAAATACAACACAATAATGTTCTCAAATATGACATTGTTAATCAATTCATCTTTTTCAATTTTGATGAATACATTCTAAGTGACGCATTGTGTTTAGTTTTGCAGTAATTATAAAGAATATTATCTGCACCAGCTATAACATTTGAAAAACCTTTTCATATTTAAAAATTCTTTGCGATAACTTAACCTGTTTTTGTAACATAAATTGATTCACTTTAAAAAGATATAATGTTTTGAATATAGAGTAAAGTGTTAATTTCCCATTAGATCTAGACATCATAATTTGCATCATGATTTGAAAATCTTGCATCTTTTTTCTTTGCTGTTGCTGCTATTGCGTAATCATATTTAAAGGTTCACTACAATTTCCCTTTGTCCAGCATTGAAAATGAGCATAACTGGACTGCAAACTTTCTCAGTAATGTTACAGCTAATTCCTGCCAAATCTTTTTCTTTACCTTTCTATTGCTATACCTCTTTTAACAGTGTCGTTTTTCAAGCAGTGAATTTGGCTCCTTAGAATTTTGGGACATAAAAATTTATCTTGATATATTTATAATATTTGTTATTATTATGATTATTATTATTATTATTATTATTATTATTATTATTATTATTATTATTATTATTATTATTATTATTATTATTATTATTATTATTATTATTATTATTATTATTGTTGTTGTTATTGTTCTTACTATTATTATTATTATTATTTAACGACATTTCATAATCAGCATTAAAAACACTGTTTTCAAGATGTGTCCTCCATATTACTTATAACCTATAGAATTGCATACTAAAATTTATTAAAATAAAAAAAAAACTATTAAAAATAACATATTACAGCTGTCGTTTAAAAAATCCATTTGACACGTTACAATATTATTATAATTTTTTCGTGCCGTATTTCAATGAACAAACTATTATAATTTTTTACTCCTTGAAAATAAATAACTAATTGCTATTTATTTTCAAGGAGTTACGACAGGTTGAATCATTGTTTTACATATCGTTTATGTAAAACAATGATTCAACCTGTCATAACTATATAATTTCGGGGAAACACCTTTTATCATTTAAGAAAGTTTGGAAGATCGTTTGTTTGATCCAAGTTTTAAAGTCATTATTTGCTGCACTTTCAAGATTTATTGTAAAGAAAAGTTTCAAGTTCTCAATATGGATGCCTACCTTAATAGAAATGTTGCTTTACCAGAAAATAACATGTTCAAAACAAACGTGATATCAATACTCAAAAAAATCCGTTCTGCCCTGCAAAACTTTAACATGTTGAAGTCAATTAACGAACAAAATGACGAAGTCAAATTTTTATTGACAGAAAAATCTTTTCCCACCCTGATTACAATGGTACAAGTGGTGCTTTTCTTTGCCTCTATGAAAATGGCAGGCTTCAAAACGAAGATTTGCGATGCAGCTCAAAACCAAAAGATTTAGAAGCGATTCAACTATCTGACACTTCTTTAACACTTACCTGGAGTAATGAAAACGAAGAAAACAAAGATGATACGAAAGGTTACAGAATTGTGACTACAGAGGGCATAAGCGTGACTGGAAATTTAGGCATAGAAAAAAAATGCAAGGCAAGAGCAGTGCAATCGCTAATCTTTTAAATCTTGAACCAGAAACAACTTACTATGCAAAGCTTGTGCTCTTAATAAAACTCCTGTCAGCGATTACATTGAAGTTTTTCATATGAAAACTGCGTTTCTCGAAAAAAAATTATTAAGTGAAGTTTTACAACGGAGAAAAAAATTTTGAGAGATTTTTCCAGACTCTCAATGAAAAGGAGCCAAAAATTCATGCGTTGACTAAAGATGTTTTGATGGAAAGAGCGGGTTTAGAAATGAAATTAAAAACATGCAAGATAAAATGGACCAAGAAATCGATATCCTTTGTCAACTAAAAAACGAAGAAGAAAATATTCAACAGCATGCAGCGGACAAGGAAGCAAATACAAATTTCGTGCACAATGTGAAGGAGAAAACAAATGGTATAACTCCATTACCCTCTAACATTTTTGCTCATTATCGTAAGAAATGTAAGAAAACCTGCCTCATTTCATAATATGAACCCAAAAACTTTTAAAAATGCCGAGAAGCTCAAAACATTTTGAGTTTCCCGAATAATGTGAACGAAAAAGTAATGCTAAGCAAACGTATCTTGAAGGAACTGTGCTTATTGAAGTTGAAAAAGAAGACATGGAAAAAAAACTAGGTATAGCATGGCAAAACAAGCGCAAGCCGATTCGGATGCTCGAGTGGAACAACTCCAAAATCAACTTGGCAAAAACCAAAAAAAAGTTTCGTTCTTAGTCGAAGCAATGCAGTGTAGTCTTCAGAAGCTTTCAGTAATCGCTCTAAAAAACAACACACAACAATATACAGATTATCTTCATCAATTTATGGAATTAGAGAAGAAACCATGGTACGAAGACCG